TTGTCAGATTTTTATTTTGAGGCTTATTACTTACATAAAAATTTGGGATTTTGAGATCTACATATGTATATGTATGTATGTGACAGATAAACTCTTTTTCTTTTTTTGAGACAGAGTCTCATTTGGTCACCCTGGGGTTGAGTACTGAGGTATCTTAGCTCACAGCAGCCTCATACTCTTGGGCTCAAGCGATACTCTCGCCCGAGCCTCCTGAGTAGCTGGGACCACAGGCATCTGCCACAACTCCCAGATATTTTTGGGGGGAAGGGGTCTTCTCTTGCTTAGGCTGTCTTGAACTCCTGAGTTCAGACAGGAATCCACCTGCCTCAGCCTCTCAGAGTGCTAAGATTACAGGCGTGAGCCACCTCACCTGGCCTGACACATAAACTCTTAACATTATGAAATATCCTTTAAAAAAAAAGTCTGTGGTGATGCTTCATGGTTTAAAGTCTATTTTGTATGAATGGATAACTAGGCCAGCATTTTGGTTAAGAATATGCATAGTAGATCTTTTTCTGTCCTATCACATTCATGCTTTCTGTGTCCTTGTATTTTATTTAAATACAGGATAGTACTCTGCCTTTTAATTGTCATATTTTAGTCTTTTTATATTTAAGCAATTGGTTATACTTTGGAGATTTAAATTTTGTTGTTGTTGTTGTTTTGTTTTTTTGAGACTAGAGTCTTACTATGTCACCCTCAGTAGAGTGCTGTGGCGTCACAGCTCACAGCAACCTCAAACTCAAACTCTTGGGCTCAAGTGATTCTCTTGTCTCAGCCTCCCAAGTAGCTGGGACTACAGGTGCCTGCCACAATGTCTGGCTTTCTCTTTATTGTTGTTGCAGTTGTCATTGTTTACCAGGCTTGGGCTGGGTTTGAACCCGCCTGCCTCAGTGTATGTGGCTGGCGCCCTAACCACTGAGCAATGGGCACCAAGCCTAGATTTAAATCTTATTATTTTCTATTTGTCACATCTATTATTTGCTCACTTTTCTCCTTATATTCTTTGGATTAATTGTATTTTGAAAATTTTTTCATATTTTTATCTTTTCTATTAGCTTGCCATAGTTTTTAACTTATTCTGTCAGTTATTGCTTTAATACAACACAAATTCATAACTTAGTATACCAATAATAAATTAATGCTTCACATACCCTGGACAATACAAGGATCTTAGTAACTTTTATTCCTTTGCTTTCTATTGCTGTTGATCTGCGTTTTAATTCTACATACATTTTGAACACCTCAGGGCATCCCTATTGTTCTGTAAAGTTGGTATTTATTTAGGCTTGTCGCTGTTGACCCCTTAGGAGCTCTTCACTCTGTCCTATGGTTCCTTGTTTATTTGTGGAATCATTTTCCTTCTGCATGAGGAATTCCTGTTAGTATTTATTTTAGTGCCAATCCACTGGAGGCCAGTTCACTCAGATTTTGCTTATTATTAAGCATCTGTATTTCACAGTCATTCTGAATGATTTTATTTTTCCTTAGTAAGTGTAGAATTCATGCTAAAGGTATCATTTCATTGTCATCTTGTTTTCATTGTTTCTATTGAAATGTCAGCTGTCAACTTTATTAGGTTGCTGCAAAAGTAATTGTGGTTTTTGCATTGTTAAAATTTGCCTTTTGATTCTGGAATACATTCTTAAATAAATGTGATTATGTTATACGTCACTTCAATGTACATCTCTTGCTTTACAGTTTTTGCTAATGTATTTATTTTGGACTATGGAAATGATATTAAAGACAAAAAGAAAATTCGAGTGATTTATTAAGGTTCAAAATGGGTCATAAAGCAGTGGAGACAACTTGGAACATCAACACATACTTGGCCCTGGAACTGGTAATGAACATACAGTGCAGTGGTGGTTCAAGAAATTTTGCAGAGATGAGATCCTTGAGGATGAGCATAGGAACCGGCCATCAGAAGTTGACACCGTGCAGTTGAGAGCAATCATAGAAGCTGATCCACCGACAATTACATAAGAAGTTATTGAAGAACTCACCTTAACCATGGCCTTCCAGCGTTTGAAGTACATTGGAAAGATGAAAAAGCTCAGTAAGTGGGTGCCTCATCAGCTCACCAAAAATCAGAACAATTGTTTTCAAGTGCCATCTTCTCTTTTTCTACACAACAACAGTGACGTGCAAAAAATGTAGATTTCATATAACAACCAGTAATGACCTCCAAAGCACTTCCCAAAGCCAAACTTGCACCAATAAAAGGTCATGGTCACTGTTTGATGGTCTGCTGCAGGTCTGATCCACTATAGCTTTCTGAATCCTTGTGAAACCATCATATCTGAGAAGCCTGCTCAACAAATTGATGAGAGGCACTGAAGACTGCAACACCACAGCCAGCATTGGTCAACAGGATGGACCTAGTTCTTTTCCACAGCACCTGACTGTACCTTGTATAATCAACATTTCAAAAGTTGAACAAATTGGGCTAAGTAGATTTGCCTCATCTGCCATATTCATCTAACCTATCACCAACTGACTATCACTTCTTCAAGCATCTCGACAAATTTCGAGCAGGATGCAGAAAATGCTTTCCAAAAGTTCATTGAATCCTGAGCATGGATTTTTACACAACAGGGAGAAACAAACTTATTTCTCACTGCCAGCAATGTGTTGACTCTAGTGGTTCCTATTTTGATTAATAAAGATGTGTTTGAGCCTGGTTATCATGATTTAAAATTAATGGTCCAAAACTGCAAGTACTTTTGCACCAACCTGATACTTATTTGAAGGTAATATGTCTTTTTAAAGATTTATGTCTTAGGTTTTCAGTGATTTTACTGTAATATGACATATCAAAACTAGTGGATTACTTTTTATTTATCTTTCTTGAGATTTGTAGAGCTTTACAAATGTATGGCTAGATGTCATGTCAGTTTTGGAAAATCTTTGGCCAGTATCTAAAAATACTACTCTGTCGCAATCTTCTTCTCTTCTTCTCCTGGAACTCCAGTTAGATGGTAGTAGACTTTTCACCATATTATCGTATCTTTTCAGTTCGTTATTTAAACCCTGCCTCCCACCACTTCAGTATGGATGTTTTTTACTGATCTTCCTGCCCACTAATCCTTTATTCTACTCTAACTAACCCATTGTTCGGTTGACCCATTTAAAGTCTTCATTACTGTATGTTTTAGTTCTACAATTTTTCATTCTTTTTCAAGGATTCCAGTTTTCTGTCAAAATCCACAATCTTCTTTTCTTTTTCCTTGACATATTAATCGGTAATCATTAATATTTTAAAGTCTGTATCTAGTAACTCCGCTATAGATTCTCATAGGTCTCTTTCTATTCTGTTTTGTTTTGGTTATTTGGTCCAATCTCCTGGTATGCCTGGTAACTTTTTGTTAATTTTTATAAATAATGAGTAAAAAATTATAGCAGTTAAGGGCAATGTTATCTTGTCTATAGAAGATTTGGTCTTCTGGCAAGTTGTTAGAGAGATAACCCATCATCTTAATCCAATGTTAGGATTAAGGCCATTCTTGGCCAGGTTTAATTCTGAAACAAAATCTAGTCCATTTCAGTTTTGCCTATTGTAGGGAATCCCTTCTAGAGATTCAACCAAAAGCCTGGAGTATTACCAGGGTTTCTGCTTCTTGGCAGCGTTTTTTTGTTTTTGTCTCCTCAGCACTGTGAGACTGCTGGAAGGTCTGCTGAGTTTTTATCCTCTTCACTGCCACTCTCTGCTTGGATTCTAGATCTCTCACAGCTCATGGCATAGGCATTGGCAAATGCCTGGGGAGGAAAAGTAGTGACAAATGTTCAGTGCACTCATTGCATTTCCTTCTCTCCAGGATCTTGGCCCCTCAAGTCCTGAGTGCCTGGGTTGCTCTTTGATGCCTTTAAAAAGCTCGACTCTGTTTGTTTGTTTTTGGTTTGTTTGGAAGGAAGGAAGTTGCTCTGACACATGCTGCTCCATCCTAGGTGGAGTTTGTGTACAGTTAACCTCTTTAACCTTTTTCACCTTTTATGGTTCCTTTTGTTGAAGACTAGATAGAAGGTTTAAGTGAGACAAGTAGGCTAAAGAATTTGGTACAGTATGTGCTCATGTGTTACTTTTTTTCATGTAAGAGTTAAATTTTGAGTAAAAGTTAAATGTCTTAGTTTACTTGCCCTATAGCCCATAGACACAAGCTTGTTACTGACTAAATACCTTAAAATGTTACCACATTTATATGGTGGAAATAAAATTACTCCTTCTTTTAACATAAAAAATAGTTGTGGAACAAACTAAAAAACAGATGTTGAGACTATTGTATTTTTATTATTTCCTGTTGTTTTCAGTTTTGTTGACTGAGGTGTATTTTGAAACATACTTTTAGAAGTTACAAATGAATGTAAATACGAAGCATTACAATATCTATTGGAGACTTGGACAGTTTTGCACTGAAGTATCTGTTGCTTCTATTCCAGAGCCCGTGTAGACAGTGACATACTGTTTTCTAAACTGTCTCTGTTTACTCATCTGTAAAATGGCAGTGGTTATATTATCTTGCTCAAAGGATTGAATGCTGTCTATTAGTCTGTTTTGGCCATCATAATAAAATTTCATAGATTGTGTGGCTTAAAGAACAAAAATGATTTTCTCCTAGCTCTGGAGGCTGAGAAGTCCAAGATCAGTTCAGGTTTCTGGTGAGGACTCTCTCCCTAGCTTGCAGGAAGCAGCCTCCTTGTGCCTTCACATGGTCTTTCCATACCTGGGGATGAGGGAGGGGAGGAAAGAGCGCTTTCTTCTTAGAAGACTCCCAGTCCTGCTGGATTAGGGCCTTGCCTTTATGACTCTTTCTGGACCTTAATTACCTTCTTAGAAGCTCCATCTCCAAATATAGTCACACTGGGAGTTCGGGATTCAGCATATGAATGGTATAGGACAAAATTCAGTCCATAGCATACTATAATGAACAAAGGTGCTTACTAAATTGTGGTTGTATGGTAGAGATGATTTTAAACATTTTTTCCCCCTCTTTTCTTTTGTAGGTGCTGACTTTGGGTTACTTTTTAAAACACTTGGAATGGTAATTTCTACTTTTCAGAAACTCAAACTACAAAGCTGAAGAGAATCCTGTGTGAATGGACTGAAGTCTCTTCTGCTGTCTTCTTGCCTTTGGAGGCTCCTTCATTTCACTGTGTCCAAGGAGCGTTCAGCTAGTGCAGTCATCATGAACGTGACAAGTTTGTTTTCCTTCACAAGTCCAGCTGTGAAGAGACTTCTTGGGTGGAAACAGGGTGATGAAGAAGAAAAATGGGCAGAGAAGGCTGTTGACGCTTTAGTGAAAAAACTGAAGAAAAAGAAAGGTGCCATGGAGGAACTGGAAAAGGCCTTGAGCTGCCCGGGGCAGCCGAGCAACTGTGTCACCATTCCCCGCTCTCTGGATGGCAGGCTGCAAGTCTCCCACCGGAAGGGACTGCCTCATGTTATTTACTGTCGTGTGTGGCGCTGGCCCGACCTCCAGAGCCACCATGAACTGAAGCCACTGGAATGCTGTGAGTTTCCTTTTGGTTCCAAGCAGAAGGAGGTCTGCATCAATCCCTACCACTATAAGCGAGTAGAGAGCCCTGGTAAGTCAGCCCTTCTACATTGTTGTTACTTGGTGTACCTAGTAGCAGTTTGTGGTTTAGAATACCAGAACAATCCTTTTCCATGTATGCAGGTGTAATTTTAAAATATTTGGCGAAATGTTTGAGGTGGGGGACGGGTGTGTGAGAAAGAGAGTGCACATAGCATGTACCTATATTTCATACATTCGAACAGCTTGTTCCTCTCTAGTAACTTCGTAAGATAAGAGCAGGCCATCAGATTTGTCAGTGCAGCACTAATACCTCTAATTTTTAATAAATTGTTTTCTTTCTGTATTGTTCACGTCTCACATTGGTTCTGTGCATTTCCTTAGACACAGTTAGCTGTGAATGTGTTACAAAGGAGTAAAATTAGGAAAGCAACACAATGTTGCCAGCTATGTATTTGAGGGAAGTACAGCATGAGGGCCATCGCCATTGACCTTGTCCCACTTTGTACTTAAGAACAGCAGTTTTTGTCTTCTCTGGTAGAATTTTGCTGTGGCATGTTCCCTGTGTAGGATATGAGGGTATTACGTTCTTCTTAGAATCACTTGCTACTGTTATTTTACAAAACATTCCTCATTTTTACATGTATGACCTTGTAGGGGAGGGCACGGTAAAGGATTTTAAAATTTGTATCATTTTGCCCTCAGGTTAGAATCTATATTCTAGGCAGTTGGATCAATGGGAAAGTGATTAGATATTCAAGCATTTAACTATCTCATTGTCAGATTGGGACCAATTTTGTTGATGGATTGGCTGTTAACAGCTTCTTGTTTAACAAGGGTTCCCAATGTGGCAGTGCATTAAAATCCCACGGCTCCCCTCCCAGAAATCCTGATCCTGGGATAGCCTGGGAATCTGTTTGTAACAAGTACTTGATGATACAGCTATTGGCTTGGTGTTTAGGAACTACTGAGCTAGATCATGTAACAGCATGATTTTCAAATAAAAAAACTATTTTTGTGGGAATATCTAAGATATTCCCCGCCAAAAAAAAGGGGCTTAATGACTAGAGAATAATATAACAGACGTCTTTGTATCTATCATTCATTTTAAGAAAGAAAAAATTATACATAAAAAATTATGTTCCTCTCACACTGATCCCTTTGTAACCACTATTCCAATTTTTATATTTATCATTCCCTTGCATGTTTTTATATCATTATTAAATATGTATGAATCCATGACAATATGTGATATTATTTTGTGTATTTTAAAATGATGTATAATGATATCATAGTTTCCTTTTACAACTCATTATATTCATTCAACATTATGTTTTGTGATTTCTAGATTATATATTTTGGGGTTGAAATCAAATCCTGTGAAAAACCTTTTGGAGATTTATTGGCATTTCATTGGCTTCCTTTGGGCAGGATTGACTTAGTATACTCTTGAGCTTAGTACCATTCACTACTCTGAAGTTTTCTCCATGCAGTTCTTATACATCTTTTCTTAGATTTATCTCTAGATTAGTGGTTTTTATTGTAACTATTTCAAGGTCACAGTTTGTTCTTGTCTAGAAGTGCAATGCCTTTTTTCCCAGTAACCATACTGAATTTTCCTTATTAGTTCTAATATGAGTATTTATTGTTTGTTATGCCAGCAGTGATGCAATTTTTTTTTTTTTAAAGGTAAACTCTTGAGATGCAGATCCTTTTTTAACCAGAAATTGAAATGGAATTTAAAGTTTTGGAGAATAAAAAGTAGTGTATGCTGGGTGTGGTGGCTCCATGGCTGTAATCCTGGTACTCTGGGAGGGTGAGTTGGATTGCCTTAGCTCAGGAGTTTAAGACCAACCTGAGCAAGAGCAAGACCTCCATCTCTACTAAAAATAGAAAAACTAGCCAGGTGTTTTGGTGGGCACCTGTAGTCTCAGCTACTCATGAGGCTTAGACAGGAGGATTTTTCAAGCTCAATGAGTTTGAGGTTGCTATGAGCTATGATGACATCTACCCAGGGTGACAGAGTTAGACTGTGTCTAGAAAAAAAGAAAAAGTAGTGTATGTGTTTCAAACAGGGTATTTAGGTTTATGATTTTTTGATCCCCATAGTAACTTTAAGGAAGGAAGTTTTTAAATTCGGTACCATACGATGACATTGAGGCCCCTACAAATTGAATGACCTGTGTCAGACAACTGAAAAGTAGAGGTGTTGACATCCTCTTCATTGATGTCCCAGGCCTCACTCTCCTATCTTCCACCACTTGGTGCTGCAGTACCTGCCTCCTGTCTGGTCACCCCCTTCAGTCTCTCATCTGCACTATGGAGAGGGACTTTTAAGACGTAGACAGGATCCTTTTGACTTCCTGCTTCTCATTGCTGTTGCGAAGACTTGCCCAGAGCCCTGCACATTCTGGTCCTGGCCTCCCTTGCCAACTTCCTCTCCCACCCTCTCGTCCTGTGTGTGCTCGAGTTCTGTGGAGACTCGCAGTGTGCTTTTCCTCTACCCATCACTTGTTTCTCCTCCCACTTTGCCTAGCTCACTCTTTTTATCCTTCAGAATTAAGCTTAATGAAGATCAGTTTCGTTGGGAAGCCTGTCTCGATCGTCCTTTTCCAATTCTCACTCCCCTCCTTAGAGTTAGGTTTTGCTTTCCCATAGCAACTTGGGTTTCTTCATACTGTTCTTACAGTTTTTGTTCTGCTGCTCTTCCCTGCAAGATAGAGGGAATAATGTTCCAGGAGGAATGTAGATTACTATTTCTATTCCAGCAGCTAGCATAATTCAATAAACTTTTACTGTTAAATGACAATGCTGATTCTAATTTATCTCTGTGGCCATTTGTCCATTTTTTAAGAAATGAATTTTCAGTTCATCTCTATGCTTTAACCATTATATTCCCTTCTTTGGTCATTTCCTAGTTTATTATTAACACAAAGTGAAAACTTAAAATCAATCTTGATGGCTCGGCGCCCGTAGCTCAGTGGTTACAGCGCTGGCCACATACACTGGGGCTGGTGGTTTCAAACCCAGCCCAGGCCTGCTAAACAACAATGACAACTACATAACAACAACAACAGCAACAATAGCCGGGCATTGTGGCAGGCACCTGTAGTCCCAGCTACTTGGGAGGGTGAGGCAAGAGAATTGCTTAAACCCAGGAGTTTGAGGTTGCTGTGAACTGTAATGCCATGGCACTCTCATGGTGACATAGTGAGACTGTGTCTCCAAAAAAAAAAAAAATCAATCCTACTATGATTGTGTTACTCTTAATAACTTTCATATGCTCTAATAAAAAGTTTGAGAGGGAGGAGGTAGAGAACTGGCTAAAATAGGCATTTGGGGACTCCACAAATGTCATTTCAGCCACCTCTTTACCCAAGAATCTTATTGAGTTGTGCATAGTAAAGGACAGTTCTAGAAAACTTTGAGGTTGAGATCTATTTAATTTGAACACATCAGGATTTTACCTACAACATTTTCCATACTGTGAAGTGACTGGTGTGAGAATTGGAATGAATGGATTTTTTTCCAGCTGATGAAGCAGTTCCTGTACTTTGTGGGGAAAAGCCCCATGACATAAAAGTGCAAGGGGGCTTTAGATCCTCACAGCTCCTGGGATAGGCATTTTCCCTCCGTAAAGCCCTATGGAGTACATTTGGTTGTTTCTGTGAGTCAGTGAAAAGGGGGTGTGCACAGCGCAGCACTGAACTGTTTTGAGCCGTATCAGTTTTTACCTTAGATGAAGTATTTCAGAGAATGATTTAGCAGTTTAAGTGTAACACAGTTAAATCTTCCCAACTGGGTGTTTTCTGTTGTGGTCCCAACAACTTGTGAAAACAACTTAACAAAAATTGAGCATATTTAGAAGATTTAGAGTGGTGGTTTTCAAAGTGTGGTCTGCAAACTAATAGCGTCAGCATCACCTCACAGCTTGTTAGAAATGCAGATTATTATTTTAATTGACAGTTACATTTGTGGGGTTCAGTGTGATGTTTCTGTATGTGTATACATTGTAGAGTGATCAAATCAGGCTAATTAACACATCCTTCACCTCCCACACTTACATATTTGTGGTGAGAACATTTAAAACCCACTCTTCAGCGATTTTGAAGTAGCGGTGTGCACTGTTGTTATTAGTTGTAGTCACACCATGCTGTGTATAGATTACCAGAATTGATTCCTTTTGTGTGACTGGAACTTTGTACTCTCTGCCCAACATCTCCCCATTCCAAGCCTGCCTCCCCCCGGTCCCCAGCCTCTGGTTGCCACCATTCTACTCTCTACTTTCCTGAGTCCCACTTTTTTTAGAGTCTGTATGTAAGTGAGATAATACAGTATTTGTTTTTCTGCGCCTGGCTTCTTTCATTTAGTGTAATGTCATCCAGGCTCATCTGTGTTGTCACATATGATGATTTTTCTCTTTTTAAAGGCTGAATAATATTTCATTTGAAAATATTCCACATCACTAACCATAAGGGAAATGTAAATTAAACCACAATGAGATACCATCTCACAGCTGTTAAAATGGCTCTTATCAAAAGGATGAAAGATAACAAGTGCTGGCCAGGATGTGGAGAGAAGGGAACCCTTGCATGCTGTTGGTGGGAATGTAAATTAATATAGCCATTATGGGAAATAGTGTGGAAGTTCCTTAGAAAATTAAAAATACAACTACCATGTGATCCAGCAGTCTCCCTACTGGGGAGAAAGTGAGATCCATATGTTGAAGAGATCCCTGCCATGATCCAGCAATCTCCCTACTGGATCTGTATCCAAAGGAAATGAGGTCTGTATGTTGAAGAGATTCTACATATAACTACCATGTGATCCAGTGATCTCCCTACTGGGTCTGTATCCAAAGGAAATGAGGTCTGTATGTTGAAGTGATCCCTGCATAGAACTACCATGTGATCCAGCAATCTTCCCTACTGGGTCTGTATCCAAAGGAAATGAGGTCTGTATGTTGAAGAAATTCCTATGTAGAACTACCATGTGATCCAGCGATCTCCCTACTGGGTCTGGATCCATATGTTGAAGAGATCCCTGAACTGC